GGTGACAAATGGGCTCAGAGTCAAGTATCTGTGTATAATCCAAGATCTAGCATCTCAGCTCTACTGTTTATTTTTTTTTCTTTTTTTTTTTTAAATTGTAGGCCCCAAAGGAAAACTGGCTCTTACCAGCACAGATGTGTATGATAACCGTACTAGTAAGTCAAAATAATCATTCAAATGTGAAGAGTAAATTTCAGGTAATAAGAATATAACACATTGGCACAAAACAGTATTTTTGGAAAAAAAATCCTTTAAAATTTACATCTAATGGAAAATGAGAATGCATTATTATCAGTTTTTTCATTTTAGAGATCAGAAAATTGAGGCTTAAGTTAAGTATTTTATCCAAGATCTTTACCAGAAAGTGGCAGAGCTATGACATGGATCCCTGTCAATGTAGCTTCAAAACTCATGATCTTAATCCCTGTATCTACTACTCTTTAAATGAAATCATACGTGTTAGAGCTAAAAGGCAGAGAGGTTCATATAATAACAAAAGCCTTGAATGTGGTTATAAGAAATGAGGGGGGGGCAGTGGAGGAAGGGGGATTGGAAAAAGGTAGTCAAGAGGTACAAACTTCCGGTTACAAGATAAATTGGTACCGGGGATATAATGTACAGCATGACGACTCTAGTTAATACTGCTGTGTGATATGCAGGAAAGTTGTTATAGGAGTAACTCCTCAGAGCTCTCATCACAATGAAAAATATCTATTTTTCTTTTTTGCTTTCTCTTCTTATTGTATCTATATGAGTTGGTGGATGGGAACTAGACTTATTGTGGTAATTATTTCACAGTATCTGTAAGTCAAACCATCCTGCTCTGTACCTTAAACTTATAGCGTGATGCATGCTGATTGTATCTTAAGACAACTGGGGACAAATTTAATTTAAAAAAGTTTCCAAATACAAAGAGAAGTTGGGTTTACTAGAGAAAGAATTGATACAATTATTTTCTTCATTTCTTTGCTCTTTCAAAACAGGTTTTCCATCAGATTACATAATCCTTCTTTGATTGGAGAGTATTCATTCTTTCATTCGTTACGTATAATGTTACATCTTCCATTGTTGATTTTCTGTATGTTAATCTAGATATATAAGGTAATAGTTATCTCTTTATTTTGCCTAAGCTTCATATTCATAGATAAGTGAAAGGACATTCTAACTATTCTCTACCATCAAAACTCATTTTTGCATATTACACATTTTTAGAAATGTAGGGATTTCATAGATAAGTAATCATCTTCCATGAAGACTTCTATTGGTTCAGAAAAAAAAAACCTGATGCAATCTTAGAGGTATTAAAAGTGTAATTTTCAAAAAATTGAAATGTATGGGGTGCCTGGGTGGCTCAGTCAGGTGAGGGTTTGACTCTTGTTTTCGGCTTAGGTCATGATCCCAGGGTCATGGGATTAAACCCAACGAAGTGGGGGAGGGTCCTTCCTGGGCATGGAGCCTGCTGGGGATTCTCTGTCTTTCTCCCTCTGCCCATCTCTTCCATTCATGCTCTCTTGCTCTCAACAAAAAATAAATAAATTTAAAGAATAAAAAGAAAAAAATGTTTAAATTAAAATAGGTTGGCTATAAAATTGGTTGATGTCTTATGGGGCAATAAAACCATAATCTTTTGTGTTCTCTTTCTACCAGACAAAATCATTTGTATTGCTTTCTGAACATAATTCATTTGCAATGTACCTTAAAAACAAAACAGAACAAAACAAAACAATTTGACACCTAACTTAGAGCATCTGGGCGCAAACAATAGTGAACAGTAGGTTTTAAAAAAATGCATTATTCCAGAAAATTGGATAATCTCTGGGAAGAACTATCAGACAATGTTCCACTATATCACTGAAAGAACACGCATTCTTTAGTTTTTCTTATTTTCAAGCTGAGATAATTTTTCATACTATTCTCGACCATGTACAAAAAATAGTACTTTGTTTAGTACTATGCGTCAACATTTTGTAAGCAATATATCATTTAGTTCTCAAATGAATAGCAATAAGCATAAGGCTTTTTATGAAAATGATTATTTCCTTGGGAAAAATTCATATGACATTAAACTTGGATAAAGGAGTTTGAATATTTTGAAGGCTATTGGTATATTATAGCCAAATTCATTTCTACAAGTGATAGGGCTCTCTGCACTACTCATGAGGAGTACTCCACTCTGATCATCATACTGACAGAGTTGGGCCTCATCATTTTAAAAATCATGCAATTTGGCAGGTACAAAATAAGACATCAGTTCTATTTACCTATATAATATCAGATTATATATAAAGTTAATATTTTATTTGTTAATATTTATTTATTTTGGGGAGAGTACAAGTGGAGGAGGGGCAGAGAAAGGGAGCCAGAGGATCCGAAGCAGGCTTGGCACTCACAGGCTGACAGCAGCTGGCCCATGTGTGGATGTGTGGGTTTGAACTCCCGAACCATGAACCATGAGATCATGAGATGGTGACCTGAGTCCAAGTAGGACATTTGACTGAGCCACCCCGGTGCCCCTAAAGTTGATATTTTAGAACACGGTTGTATTATTTTTTCTAATTTGTTATTTGCTTATTTTTGTATTTAGATATTAGTGCCCATGTTTTCTATTCCTTTCAGCTTGTAATATCTAAAGGACATTAACACTTTGTGTTTAGTTCTTACCCATCAAAGTGCTTGTCATGAATAGTATTAATAGGATATTTTATGTGAGGAATAATAACATCCTAAATGAGATTCATCTGTGCTAACTTGAAACTCAACATAAGATTATGCTAATAAAGATGTGATGTTTCCTCTTGCTCCATTAAAACTCTCTTAATGAAAAGTGCTTTATATGAAAACTATATATACAAGTAATGTTAATAAGGGTGGAGAACCGAAACTACAGGAAACACAGAGATATTTGTAAATCCAAAATTGTTTGTAAATTGACTGCAACCATTATATTAATAAGTAAACAATATAGCTTTAGGAGATTATATTTTGAACAATTTTGAACTGGGCAATCATCCACAATAGTTTAAATCATTGTTTTTGTGTTGTGCTTATACAATTAAATAAAAAACTGAAACTAAAGTATACTCAAATTTATGTTTATATATATAAAGTTATATATAAATTATGTTATGTAACATACATGTATAAAACAAAATATATGATTACTGCCTTCGGTATTTTAAAGAGTTTCTTTGGTAACACTACCATAGATCCATTTAAAAGATGAATATATTTTCTTAAAAGTATCCATTCTTCCAGTAATAGAACAAAAAGGTCATTGAATTGAAGCATTAGCTTTTGTAACGTTTTCTAATTTATAACAATTTGGGATTTGTATATAATATTTATGTTCAATTATTGAAAATACATAACAAATTTTAAATAAAATAATGTCATATAAAATGCACTTATACTTATATACATGTAGAAATATACATACATAAAATGTGGAGAACTAGAGAGCAATGATGACAGTAACTATTAAGGGAGGAAATGAGTTTTTTGAGGTGTGTAAAATCTTGTCTAAATCAATGCATATAAAAATTATAGAAACCACTAAGATCACTTTTGTTTGCTGTTGTTGGGGGAGAGGGGACTCAAAGAAAGTGTGTGCCTGCTTCCTTGCCAAGGTCCAGAGATCCGCTAGCTTGAAGGGTGACCCAGAGTGAACCCACAGTCCTTACGTTTCCTTTCCCTGGCTTCCTCCCCTAGCCTGGGAGGCAGAGGATTGGAAGCCTGGCGTTGGTGGGAGGAGGGGGAAGTGATGGGGCCGGACCAGGGCCAGCAGGAAAGAGCTGGTGGCGGGCCGAAATCCTAGAAAAGATGTCCTGGGGAAAATTATGCGGGCCCTGACCCCTGGACGCGCTTTCCCGCGGAGTGGGGAGCGCAGGGGAGTGGGTGGTCACAGTGCCTGGCCTCCCGCACCCGCGTCTGCTAGCCCAGCTCTGCCACGGTTGCGCGGGCCATGGGTTCGATTTCACGTGGGACCAGGTGATGCCTCCTCTCACCCCTAGACCTTAACTGCGCACTTTGAGTTCCACGAAATCCTCCAAGCGCGTCCTCTCTCAGTTGAGAGACAGGCGCAAACAGTTGGCTCTTCCTTTAAACTCACACAAGCCCATTGGCTCAGTAAACGCTCAAGATGCGTCAGGGGTCGGTGTAAACACCCCAAATCCCTTCTGGTTCTGACTGCCCATGCGGTGATCAGCCCTGGAGCCCTTCGGTTCTTTTAAGTCCCTCAACTTTTGGAAAATCAACTTGGAAAGTGTGGAGCCGTGGAGCTGGGGCAAACTCAGGTTCACGAACTCTGGGGCTTCTCTGAATCCACTTAGATCCAGTCTCCGGTTTCGCTCCTCCTCCACGTATTTTAGAGCCCCGACCCCCCAGGCAGGGGAATTTTGCGTCGAATCGTCGAGTCGGTAGACAGAACGTTCTTGGCCCTCACTCTTGCTTGCCACGATCAGATTACTTCTCACAGACTGGAGGCTGTTGCGAGGTGGGGGTATTTACTTTTAATCCTTTTTTATGTGTTCAGTTCACCTTGTGTGGTTGGGTGTGGAAAGCGGGGGAGGGGGGTTTCCAAAAGGAGTGAAATTCCCATTCCATGGGTATTACCATGCCCGTGGGGTTGGCAGGTCTTAAAGTTTAACAAGTCTGCAAATAACTACAGAACACAATAGAGCCCCCCTCCCTTCCTCTCTCTCCCTCTCTCCCTCTTTTTTTTCTTTTCCTGCTTCCAAACGCCTTCTTCGAGGCTGAAGCTGGGCAGGTCTCCAAAGGTGCAGCAGCCACAACAATCCAGCAGTTCAAAGTTAGGCAGCAGTTGCACAACTACCAGCAACTCTCTGAGCCGGCTGCTAATGAGCTGAAAGCCAGGGCCCTCTGAGGAGGTGAAGAGGAAGCTTCCAGCCCTCCTCCCTTCAACTCGAAATACAGCTATCTCCACCCCCCACCCCCAGATAACTCTGAGATACGATCCTTGCTCTTTGCTTGCCTGGGGGACCATGGCTCCCTTTGGAAGAAATCTGCTGAAGACTCGGCATAAAAACAGGTAAAGTTCAGCGTGCGTGTACTGGGGGCTTCTGTGTGAAAGTAGGTGTTTTGTTACAATTATATTATGATGAAAACTGTTCTTGGGGGGGAAAGCTTTAGGGTATAAGGTTTTGTATTTATACTCAACTGGTGAGGATATTACTCCCGTAACGGGGATCTCGGTGGCCACCGCAGGGATCATTGAAAAAAAAATTTTTTTTTTCCTTTTGTTCCCCCTTTGGCCAGTCCTGGATCCACAGTTAGCATCACTAGAATCTCCCTTTGTGTTGCCTGGCATATTTGAGAGTAGTGGGGAGGCATGTTTCATTTTACTTCAGTCCGAATTTTAGCATATTGTAGGAAGGATTAAATTTTTGATGACGATAGAACTAGAATTTATTAGCCACTAATTAGGACGAAAAGCACAACTGTTGATACAATCAGGAAACAATGCTTTGGCTCCCCTTTAAGTGGGGATTCCTGAAACCTGGCAAGTTCCCAAAGTGAAAATACTTTGTAGAGGAGAAACTTTCTGTGAACTGAATCTTTCCCATATCGTTGATAACTTTAGGTGGTTGTAGGCACTAAAGGAGGATTCAGTCAGCTGTCCTCCTTAGTCTGCATTATTAGTTTTACTTTGGTTTGTTTCAGGTTGCTATTTCAAGCCTGCAATGCCAACAATGCAAGTGTATAAATAAATGTATTTCTCCCTTTCTTTTTCTCTGTCTCTGTCTCTCTCTCTCACACACATACAGATTTTTATTGAGCTAGTATGTGTATTTCAGCCCTATTAAGTATTTTATTAACACCTCAAATGGTACATTTTTATGCCCAAACACTGTAAGGATCATTGTAGACATGAGCTTTACCTTTTTAATATATTTATTTTGGAATAAGGGCTTTTCCATAACTCTTCTCTCCATCATGCCTGTTTGTACTTGTCATAATTTACTTAGGGTAAAGTTAAAAGCATACAATTACATGGTAGGAAATGGTACAATTATTTTAAAGTGTCTGCATGATAATATATAGTGATACAATTTTAAAGTAAACCTCCAGACTTTGAGCTTAAATCTCTGTTTTTAACTCATTCCAAATGTAACCATGATTTAGTTGATTAAGTTTGCTTGAGAAACTAAAACAATAAGAATCAGTATTAGAGAACTTTCTAAACCAGTTTTATTTGTGAATGATTTGGTTATGTATCATGGATATGGCATTTCTGGTAATTAGTGAAACTGTAGGTTACAATAAAGAAATATGTCTGAATATTTTTTAAAAATATATTAGTAGTGGTTATTAAAAATAAGTTTGTATTTTCATGCTGTCAGTGCATTAAAAAATATTCCAGAAGGCTTCTTTTGCCAACAGAAAAGTCTTCCTGCTTTTTAAATGATTATTCAGTAGCACTGTTTTTGAAGTATGTTTGTTTAACTGCCATCAAAATATATAAAAAAAATCACTTGGTGGAAAGTTTGTGGTTTTATAAAACAGGTTATGTTTTTGGAATGCTGATCTTTCTGAATACTAACTACCTGTGTGGTTCAGGGTTGTTGTATGTGTGTCTTTTGTTTTTGATTTTGATCACTATTAATTCTAGAATTCTGTCGTTGGTAAGCTGAATAACAGTTCAATATAACCTTGTGTGCACCCCTAAGAGTTTCCCCAAGGAAGTACATGTCCACTTTCGGTATCTCAATTTTGCCACTGTACCATCTACCACTAAATCGACTTTCATTCAGGGAGGTGTGTATACAAACTGTTTTTAATATGACATTTTCTGTACAAAAGTATGAAGAAATGGAAAGAAAGAACAATACAAAAAGGGAAGTTTAGGGGCGCCTGGGTGGCTTAGTCGGTTAAGCGTCTGACTTTCGCTTGGGTCATGATCTCGCGGTTGGTGGGTTCGAGCCCCGCGTCGGGCTCTGTGCTGACTGTCAGCTCAGAGCCTGGAGCCTGTTTCATTCTGTGACTCCCTCTCTCTCTGACCCTCCCCTGCTCATGCTGTCTCTCTCTCTCTCTCTTCTAGAAATAAATAAAAAACATTAAAAAAAAAAACCAAAAAGAGAAGTTTAATAGTATTTCAAGTTTCTCTGAGAAAATGGAATCGTGTTCCCAAAGGTGATGCTTTATTGTGAACGTGTTTTGATGAAAGTGGTAATAGTAAGGATATATGTAAGTTGCTCTAATAATTGACTGCTTCCTGTTATGAATGTGTATTTTTCCAATCTTTAAGAGAAATTTAAGCCACAGCAGTGGTCAGAGAGATAAAAATATTGGTATCTCAAACTAAGCAGTACATAAGCCATGTGGTGTATTGAAATAAAATAAATGTATTTTTATTTTTTTCAGTGTCCAATATTGCTATAGATGAGGTATTTTTGTTCTGCTTTTTTTTTAACCTTCTCAAAGGTAAAAAACTACAGATGAAACTTAGTTACATGATTAAGTCTATCATTTTGTTTACTGCATTCCATGATGATTTAAATAATCTTACTTGGACATATAGAAACTAAATATCTTTCCTTAAAACAAGTGATTCATCCTTTGGTAGTAAATGTGATTGATGATAGAACATTCATCTGATAAGGTATTCCTCAAATATATAGTATAAAATTCCTTGTAGACGGCAAAGGAAGAATTTGCACATTTGGATACCTGCTGATAAATAATTTGTACAAGTGAAAGAACTACTTGAACGTAACTGCATCTTTGTCAGCAGGAAAAAAATACAGATTATTAGAAGGAATATGAGGAATTTGAGATCATAAAGTTTTGACAAAAATTTTTATTGTACTTTTCTGGATCTATTCTCTTTTGGTCTTTTCAAAGTATGAGGCATAAAACCTTTTAGAAAATAAAAACTGTAAAGCTTAGAGAGGGCAGTGTCATATCTAATTACCATTGCGTGTTATGCGTAGGACAGTGCCTGGCATATTATGGACCTGTAATACAGTTATGAATATAATTTTATAAATTACATTAGAAAACATAGTTACTATTTTATTCTCTGTTCACCATTTAAGGTCAACAGATATTGTAGAAAAATTAATACTTTATAAAGGATAAAATCTAAAATCCAAATAAATAGACAAATAATTTTATGGATTTGGATACCGAGTTAACCCTACCCCACCAGATAATCTTTTCTAAATTTTAAGAAGCATTTTAAATTTCAAAAATGGGGCAACAGTCTTTTGGGAATCTGAGAATAATGCATGATCACAAATGATTGTATTTTGGCACATGAACTTTGTATGCTTTTAATTTGTAACTTTCATGTAAATAAACAGAATGGAGCCAATCTAAAATCTTGATGTTTATAATCAGAATTAACATTTAAAAAATTCCTAATTGTAGTAAAAATGCCACAGATGCTTCATCAGAAGGGAGAACTAAGTTTTGCAGTTAGGATAAAAGTTGGTGGCAAGATGGATGTGTTTTCTGAAATTAGAAGTATGGATATTTGTGAATTCGGCAGAATGGAAAGTTATCATGTACTATATTGTCTAATCTAAAATAAATACTTAAAATGTTCCTGAAATTGGATTAAGAAATACCAGATATTTGAGTATGTGCCTCTTTTTAGTTCCCAGGAGTTTCTGAAAGAGATTTCCCCTGATGATACCTGGTAACTTAAGTAGTTATTAGTTGGCAGCACACAGCCCATTAGGAACAATGACTGGAATGCTTTATCCCTGGCAAAAATATACCGAAAGTAGAGAAGGCAGTGAAATTGAGCTCTAGTTAAATCTTGAATTGTTGCTCAAGCAACTATCACCCAACTTAAAATCACTATGTAAGATCTTGTATATGTACTGTATCAATTCATGAAACATGTCAAGGTGAAACACTCGTCAATGGACTTTTTGAAAAAAGATGTTCAAAATTATAGCTGGTTACTCTCCACAATAGCTAAAACATGGAAAGGGCCTAAGTGTCCATCAACAGACGAATGGATCAAGAAGACGTGGTTTATCTATACCATGGAATACTACATGGCAATGAGAAACAATGAAATCTGGCCATGTGTAGCAACATGGATGGACCTTGAGGGTGTTACTCTGAGCGAAATAAGTCAGGCAGAGAAGGACAAATATCATATGTTTGCACGTATAGGAGGATTAGGAGGAACTTAACTGAGGAACAAGGGGGAGAAGAAGGGGGAAATGGTGGGGGAAGGGAGAGAGGCAAACCATGAGAGACTCTTGAATGCTGACAAAAACTGAGGACGGATGGATGTGGGGGGGAGGGAGGATGGGCATGGAGGAGGGCACTTGTGGGGATGAGCACTGAGTGTTATGTGGAAACTAATTTGACAATAAACTATTTGTAAAAAAAAAATAATAAATAAAAAAAACCAAAATTATAGCTGGTTAATAATTTGATTTATAGAACATCTATATTAGCATGACTATATAACAAAGTTTTGCTGTTATATGATTGGTATGCAGTTCCAAGATATCTGATAAAAGCTCTAAAAATTCACAAAAGCATGGCTCTCTTCTTTTCATTTTAGTTCTGAAAATAGAATAAAGTTGAGTAGGGGCATATATTTACCTTTTCTGGGTATATGCGGATACAGTCCTTGATAGGGAATCCCTTTGTCTGTAACATATTGGTTTTCTAAAACAAAGCAATATGTTATTTGTACCATTCAACATGCTTCTGTTTTCTAATGTTCTTTAATGTGTATTTGCTTAGGAGTTTTTAAAGACATATTTTTGGCAAAAGACACACAACACCTATACCATTTCCTTTTTTTTTTTTTAATAGGTTGTGATTGTCATTCCTGTGTAACCTGTTATAATTCTACACCTTCTAGAGAAAATTTGCATATTTGTTTATTATCATTTAAGAAAAAATACTATTGTGAATGGTCACCCAAGGGCAAAGTAATTACTTCTTGCAGATAGAATAGAACCTTAGGTACACGTTCAGCATTGGCAGTGATAAGCAACATATTTCAGGAATAAGAATGATCAATGGGTATTAAATATGCTGACAAAAAAGGAAAAT